CTCAGAATTTCATTCACAGTCAGTTAAAAATGTATGGGTTTGTTTAACGTAGGATATACAGTAGACCAAATTAATATGGAAAGATTAAAATCTTTCATGGCGATTATTCTATAATATTCAGATCATAAATAATATTTAACCAATAATTCTATAAATATAGAATGTAGGGTCATCAATAAATTTAAGCATCCTTTTTATAATGCTGTAGAAATGCTACAGAGGTAATTACTTAATTTTTTGAAGCGATATCACTACAAAACGATGCAAAGTAAAACTACTGCTACTCTAATGTCTGGGTTTCGTACGAAGAAATTATTCATACAGTGTCAACGAGCACTGGATTGAACGACGCTCTCGCATCATATCAGAGAATGTTTCATACTGACTGGAATTAACACAGAATGGACAATATATTTTTCCTGACCAGACACCACAGGACTTTTTCCTTCGAGCCTTAATTTAAGATAAAACATTCACATCCATGATGTTTGAAAAATTGATGATTTGCAACGATCGGAGAATTAAAAAGTTTGCTAGCTGAATTGTTTAAGAGTACGAATTCTCTCCCACATTTGTCGCGTTTTGTCTTGATAGTAAGCACGATTTTTGAAGCGAAATAGTTGTACATCACTTTGAAACAGTAAAGCCTAGTTTTGTTATGAATACTTTAAACCTGTAGCCATTGCTTGCACTTATTATGAATTGTAGCATTCTGTGGCCATTCTTTCAGTAATGTGGTGCTCAATCACTCGCTCAATGACTGACTATCAGCTCGCTAGACGAGGCACACACACGATACTGACTAACTCTCCGAGTACCAGTAGAGTTTATATAGCTTTTGGCTGGTGCTCGAGAACATTCTGGGCTAAACCGGTAAAAATTCGTTCCAGAAGGTTCTCCATCCGTCCATGGCATATCGTCAATTTTGTCGCCAAATGGGCGATTCCTCGCCAAATGTGGCAACCCTGCCTTATTTTGCTATATTGCTTTATTTGCATTATTGGCAACCCTAAAACTGCTTTGCGGGGAAGCCATCTTACCGCGCCTGTACATTTCGTAACAATATATTTCACTATTTACAATGCACCGTTACACCACGAAGACATGCCGGAAGGAGGGAAAAAATAGCTTATATAAACAGCGATTACGGATTAGGGGCCTCAATTGTCAAATCTTGGTGGTGACGATTTATTGTCCACCACCTTTTAGTTCGGAAGCCTCTTGTAGAGTCATTGGGTTACTCTGAAGCAGGAAACGTGAAAAATGTGCAGTGTCTTACGCCCCTGGAAATATTGAATACCTGTCGAGTATACTTCCAGTTGCACCACGAAGGCATGCGGAAAGCAGGGAGAAAATACCTTATAAATCGGTTGATTTATAAGATATTTTCGCTTTCTTTTGTTTGCAATTCGGTTAAATTGCAAACAAATATCATAATTACATTGTAAAACTAATTTTTATGTTGGGCAACATAATTAGAGTCAATAAAGATAATTTAATAAGCTTGTCAATTGAACCTATTAAATTTAGCTATTAAATAATAGGTTTATTTATATTATAAGTAAATGTACCTATTAAATTTTCCTAATTACCTATTAAATAAAATTTAATTTTTTCTACTTTCATTTCTGCAGTCTAATTTCCACTAGTTAGGGAAGTTCTCAATCAGATGAATACAGACCAACGTTTTCGATTTATTATCTTAATTCTAAGCATAGCTGACATGTGTGTACACTATGCACATGTGTGTACAAATGTGTGTATACTAAAAATCTTATAATAGGTACCTAATGAAATTTAGTTCGTTCTTCAGCTATCACGTGGAAAATATCAAGCCATAGAACTGACCATACGCTACTTTCAATTCGGCAGAAAAAGCTGTCCACAAGCCCTGCAGTATGTACTACAATAATGTTGTGTTAGATGATGATTGACTATTAAACCACAGACGTTTTTACATTATGTTCCAAAAAGCTCTTAAGGATATCATATTAAAGAATCGTATAATCAAATTATAAATTTAAAGTAAGAAAAAATTTAAGAAAATTTCTCTATCCATCTTCTGATAACTAGGACTGATGACATGTTTTTTGCATTAATCTTGCGTTAAGTAATGACCTTTGAGTATGTTTGACTACTGCCCTAGTATGAGAAAACTTTTTAGTCAAAGAGATGCACAAGTGATCTGTTACAATGTTACAATAATCCTAAAGCGCATAGATTATTTCAAACCATTAAAGAATCAACTATAAATCCCAACTCGCTTTAGAATTGGACATAGCTGCTTTGAAGAACAGAAGTGATTAATCCTTGAGTCTTATGACTGTTGTTAATAGGGGAAGGATATATCGCTTCAGAAGATCTTGGTTATATTTCAGTGAACCTGTCAACGTTACCCATGTGGAATGTTTAATCGTCAATTATTTACCAGACTTAATTGTTCTACTGTCCAAATCCAAAGCCTGAGGCTCATTCCATTATTTAGAGTTCCATAAAAAGGTATATGGTGTAGGAATGTGAGAATTTTTGCTACAGAATTTGATGCAAGTTCAAGAACTTATATTAGAACGATAGATGTAACGCACAGAATTTTCGAAACTTTCATGTTAGAAGCTCGCATTGATATTGGCAATAATTTGATACAACGTAACCAGTTTATGTGTCATAATTGATAGTCAAAAAATCGATAGAGATTTGTATATCAAATTCACATGACAAAGTCATGCAATTTTTTACTTACATGGAAATGTCATTTGCATAATGATAATTGGTAATTTTACATAATGATAATTGGCAATTTTACATAATGATAATGATTCTAATGATAATTGATTGATTACATTTACATAATGATAACTGATTCTAAATGATAATTTCTTGATACTTCAAATTCAGAAAATTAATTTTCTTCATACTTCAATTTCTTGATACTTCAAGCAGAACTCGTGTGAAATATCAGTTGCATGACATGTTTCTGTTATTTAAGCTATTGTGCCACTTATAAAATTAGGAAAGCCATGATTTGTAGCAATTCTGAATGAATAACTATTGTATGAAAATTTCAAATTTCTGTTGTATCTATGGAGAAAAGCTTAAACAATGTTGAAAATATATAGTTTTTACAAAAGTTTATTAAACATTTATTATTCAGTGTTTATGGAGCGGAACTTTAAGAAAATTCAAATTTTACATATTTTGTTGTGTTACTATCTGGTCTGTATAGAGGTTTATTCAAGTTTTCGCAATAAAATCTATTTGCATAGTTTGCATGTTTTCAATAAAACTCCTTTTATTCTAATTATATCAATTATTTCTTGGTTTAAAATTTTAATTAAAATTTATCGTCATTAAAACTGAAGGAAAAGAATGAAACGAAAGTTAAGCTACAAATTTTAATCATTACCATTTTAATTGTTGCTAGTTTAATATTGTCATTTAAATACCATTGAAAATTTAATTATTCTGGTGAGTAAACGCAGTCATTGCTTTATTTCTGTGTAATACTCTTTTACCCCCACTTTGGTTTTCTTTAGGTTTATTAAAGTAAACAGAAGTTTGAAAAAGGCAAAAAATGAAAATATTGAAGCAAAATATATTTCAATTGTGACACAGCGTATAGAGTGGGAGCAAGGTTTCAGAATATTTTGTTGCTAGGTCTTAAGCAATTGTATTATCATCAGTCAAATCCATTGTCGTATATAAAGACTTTCATATCGGGTAAAACTTATTACGAAATTTTCGATAGGCAGACAGAGAAACCGTTTGATAAAAATGATCTTCCACCTCATACATATAAATAACTTATAAATCCACTTTCTTCCACCACCTTTCTCTGGTAAATCAGATACATCATTGTGAAATGCTTTTAACTCCTAGTTTTTCACTGAACTCAACTGATTTTTATTTCCATTTGTAAAAAACATCACACTGCATACATGATTTATATTCATTTGGAATGTTTATGAGCTATTTCATGTGTCGAGTTTAGTGTTATTTCAGATTTCACGCATAATATGGTATGATTTATAACAATCGAAATCTAAAAACAAAACGTATTAATCTAAAATCATCTTGAAATTTATGTATTATTATAGGACTCGGAATTATACATTTATATATATATATATTATATGACCCAAAATTCTTAAAAATGATTTTTTATAAACTATCATGTGTCTTTCTTTAACGCTGTTATAACTCAAGTTTTCATACTAATGCTCTTCATTTTTGAGGAGAAGAAAATTTCTATTTTTAGCCACTCATGTCGCTTTTAAATGCCACAAAATGTGTAACCTCGTAAAAAATTAGCACTCAGATTTTTATTTAAATTTGTGGGCTATTAAATCGAAACAAATAAAATTTTATAATAGGTCGCTTCATTCTTTGAATTATCAATTTGACTTGATACTGAAACTTTTAACTCTATGCACATTACTATAATGTTTACGAAACATGTACATGATGCATCAATATCTATTTGGAGACAATATTAAATTCAAAATATCAACTTGAAATGAACACATGTATTTGTGTATTCACATTCCTCTAATTATAAAACATAGAATAAATTGAAAATTAATCCATCTTCTAGATTCTTAAAGCACTAGTATTTTTGCCAGTTATTGTCTCCACACAATATATATAACTTAAATATTCAATTATTTCTGCCATGTGCATTCTGCTAATATTTTGCATTATAAACTGATACTTTGAATTTCAGATTCTGTTTTTAAAACTAAACGAATGAATCATTTATCGTTTTCGGATTAAAAATAGGATAATTAGAGAATTCAAGGACACGTAAGAAATTATTTATATTGCTTTTAGGTATAGGTGTATATGTACACAAAATGAATGATTTACTTTATTGTTGTGTGAATTCAAGTCATGCAAGAAATTATTTATATTGCTTTAGGTATATGCGTACATGTACACAAAATGAATGATTTACTTTAGTGTTATGTGATGGAAGTGTAAAATAAGACAGATACACAAAACAATTATAGAAATAATGCTCAAACGTTTATTACAAACTTAAAAATATAAGAACGTATGAAAATCTTACGACTATAGATATTATATTATATGTGCACATCACATTAGAGGAACGAACACACGTGGAACAATAATTATAAATCTGCATTGGCAAAATGCTACAAAGATTATCATAGTCATCAATATAGCAGCAACAACGAATTGCTACAAATCCCAAAAAGACATGAACGTTGGATGAACAGTGACATTGCTTAGTTTAAAAAGAAAACAAAAAAGAATCCATTAATTTATGATCACAACACCAGAAATACGAAGAGTTAAAAAATTCCACACTATACTGATTAAACTGTCATTATCCAAAAACAATGCAAAAGTTCTCAAATGGTGAATAAAAATTTCTAGAAAAAATGTTTTATGAAGGGAAACATGAGCCTATAGAAAAGATAAAACAATGTAGTGTAAAACAATCTCCTTTATTTTGAACTACGTACTGTTAGATGATATCTGCTAATTCTTCTTGCGAATTTAAATTTTGTAAACGCGTTAAGGGAGAAAGGATTAAATATGACAGGGACAGCTTTAAACCGGTGACGTAAAACTCTACAATTTAACCTTCTGTTTAAATTGTTACATTCATACAAGTATGAATGCTACTTAGAAGTTATAAATCTAAAATTACCTTGAAATTTATTTTCTCGATAGTACATGAAAGAAGATTTTAATATCTTTTACTGCTTTGGACTGGACTATTAAATTATTAAATGTAATCACAATCCATTAAAATAACTGACCAAAGCTGCTTAAATATTTCATATATTACTCTTAAAACTTAGTAGTGTTTAAGAAAGCTAGATCGAAATTTTACTTTATCGTACTGCTTTATTCATAAAATATTAAAATGCTTCCTCTAATAGAAATTTATATCTAATATGCTCAACCAGTCGTTGCTAATTTTGAAAGGTATCTTTGAAATGTTGTTTATTTAAAATTCAGTTACCCTCCAATTCACATTTAAACCGACGATAAGAAATTGTTTACAAAACTGCCATAAAACAGTTATATATACTATTCAAATGACATAAAAGAACACATAATTCGTGCAGCTGCATAGTTTGAGTCGCATAATCTGTTCACAGGAATATTGGAGAACCATTTCTGGCTCACTGATCTTAGTCTGTCGGAAAAGAAACAAATTTATCTCTACTGACCCTATTTCGGGCATCTTAAAACATGTAATATCACGCAATACAATCACACATAATGAATATCTATTTTACAAATCACTCTATGAAAAAACTCTTATGATAAATACTCAACCCAGCACTTCCAACATTGTACTTCTATTTTTTGTACCTTTACATATAAAAGTAAGCTAATAGCATGACAACTTGCGAGTAGAAAATATAAAATACCATCTCACGTCATCAATTTCCTCACCATTTTATATCATTTAGAAAGAATATTGAAATATATATATATAATTTTCTCTTATTATAACATTTTCCAACATTTTACATACAATGATATATAATATATATTTATATATATATATGTACTAACACAACATACACCAGATTGAGTAAGAAAATATACCCGCCGATAAGTTTACATTATGAGAAACGGCTAAATATTAAACACACGGACTTGAACGTGCATTAATATAAGTACTTAACCAGAGATAATAAGCAATTATCAGAGGCATGCTTCTTTTTTTTCTACATTACGCTATAGATATTAGAGTTTTAACTTTGCACTTTAAGTACAACTAATAGAGTTTGGCCATTTGTTACTTCAAACCGTGTTCACCATTCACCATTATAGGTACCACTGTTACCTTGCGATTCACCGTTATAGGTACCATTGTTACCTTGCGATTCACCATAATAGGTACCGTATACCACTTTTGAATTAAAATCGTAGATATTTAACATTCGATTACAGTGAAAACAATGCATTTTCTTGGTTGCTTTCATTTTAAAATATTTTATCTTGTAAAATTTGGAGGAAGAAGAAATGCAGTGAGGTAAACACGGTTCAAAGAATGTATGAACATTTAAATCTTTCGAAATTCCACATTATAGGAAACTTTTATTCTCTCAGTTTAATATAAAAGCACGCCTGAACACTCTTTTATTGAACGCGAAAAATGTCCTTTTTTTTTTTTTTTTTTTTTTTTTTTGCTAAAACTTTAGTCAAATTTTACACATTGTAGGATATTTCAACGTTCAGAATGTCTGCAGCTTAAGTTAAGCATTTAAACTTAGAGGTAAAATGCTATTCTCATAAATATTTATAACAATAATTAACAAGTATAATTACATCTTTATTGCATTTGCGAATATTGAAAGTCTGCATTCGACGACTAACAAGATTTTACAAACACAGGTAATTCAATTTCAGTCATTCAAATAAACCATAATCTTCAGTTTGATTCAGAGAACAAGAGAAGTTAACTTTGAGATTGGCTTTCAACTTTAGGAAAATTATGCTTATATTTATACATATACATACTTTTAATACTTCGAAATATCAAGTCAACTCTAGAGAATACGTAAGTATTTTAAGTACACAATATCCCTAAGACATAATCACACTTGCTGAATTCCAATGGACATAGTTATTAGTGAGCAGCTTACAGACAATGAGCACAAAAAGCTTACACGTGTTTAAAATCAATAGAAAAGTTGAACACGGGTTGTTTGTTGTTAGATATCACCCTGAACACATAAGACTACAGTAAAAGTCTGGAGAATATATTGCATTGAGGTACTGACACTGAACCACCAAGCACATTGAAATAGCTTGCATGTTTTCTGAGAAATCCAAAAAGAAAGTTTACCTGCAGAAACGTCAAAGTCGATTAGATGGAAATTTACAACCATTCCAAATACTCATTAACAATACCATTAATTAATATTGATAATTTCTATTCAGGAAAAGAAGGAATGATGTTTAGAAGCTAGTTACAGGACATGAAAGGTACCTAATTAATAAAGGTATCTAATTAGAGTTATCAGCTTTTGTATTTGTTAGATTCAAATAGACAGGGATTTCTTGGGGATGGAAAGAGAACTAGATTTGTTAACTACTCATTTGTCTTTGGTAAATTACGCCGTATTTTCAATAACCACAGACATAAATGTCGTACATATATCTTTGTGAAGCGATTATTTAATACTTGTAGTTATGTATGGAGATCTACAATGATGTCTTCTTTCACATAAGCACATTCCCTTTCATTTTAGAATTCAATTACTGTATTCATGTTTTTCAGGTACTTAGGTTTTGCCAAGCAGCAGAATAGTAATTCTGTAATGCTTACTTTGTGTAGCATAATTTTTATTAACACCATTAATTACGATTAGTAACAGCAATGAATATGAATGCTTTCGATTCAACTGAAAGAAAAATTTAAATAAATTTATAGCATTTGAAAGAATTTGACAGAATTGGAATTGTGTATTTAAATAGTTTCACAAATGAAATTTACAGTTAGCAGCTTCTTATATTACAGAAATTAATGCGCAACGTAACGCTCAAACGCATGTTCTATTTTTATTAAGATGACTTATTTTAGGCTGTGAATTAAGCTATTTTTACTAAAAAATTACACAGGTTTTAATAACAGATCATCCTTTCTTCCCATATACATAACAAGATGCAGGTTTTAAACGCAAATAAATATAATATACTATACTTACTTTAACATATATGCATTGAATGGTTTTTACTTAATATTAACATATTTTTAACAAGGACAACATTTATAAATTACATGGTTCCATAAATTTTCATGACCACATATTGATAAAGGACAAAATTCACAAATTATGAGCCTGCTGAAAATATTAGTTGAATCTTAATCTTGTTTATATCGAAGAATATTATCACAATTTGCTTTTAATGCAAGATATTTTAATTTACATACAAACAAAAGAATTAGATTATTAGCAACATTGCCTTTATAATCCAAAAAGATGTTTTTATTTACAGCAGCATTTGGAAAACATTAACAAAAATTGTCAATAACATAAGGAGATTGAAGTAGATAGTTATTATATAATGATAAATGATATTTAACAAAAATCTTTTTAACCTGGAAATCGAGTTCTATTTATAAATATTTCAGCACTACAGTGCAGTGCAGTTAGAAAGTAGACTGTTCGTTTGCCTTCAAAATTACCTAGCACAAGAAAATATGTTTATTTCATTTTTTAATGGTTTCATGAACTTTTTATCTTGTATATAATAACTTTAATTTCTTCTGTTAAATATGCACTTGCATTATTTTGTAGGACAGTTTCTCACTCGTTGCATAGTGGCAATATAGATACAATAAATAAAACTCAAAAAATAAACAAAGAGATTAAAACACATTTCTTCATGAATATCAATCAATGAACTATAAAAATAAAAAAAGAATTTACCAACAATCAGATATTCAAAATAAAACTTAATCACTAATATTCCAGAAACATAGTTGTACTAAACTCGTAAGATGTTGGGCACAAAGAAAAATAGCCATTGTATTAAGCAACAAAATAATTGTAACAGGAATTTAAAAATGCACAGCTTTGTACTAATCCATCACAAAGTATCTGTTTGCACGGCAGTGCAATTAATCTCACTAAATTCATGACGAAATATGCCACAGTTCATGTTTCAATTCAAAATATCTTTTTTTAATATTCGCACTGTCTGTATTCCAAACTTTAAAAACCATACAAATATAGAAATACGCTTTTGAAATCCTCCGTGAAGTCAAAAGTCATTCATAAGCCATAACCGATAATGAAATTTTAAAATACATTTATGAAAGAAAAATACACATGATATCCACTGTGTTAAAATAATTGGTTTTTCTTATTATTTTGAACCGTTATATAGCTGCCAAACGCTCAGGGCATGGCTTGTAAAATGACATCACATAAAATTTGCATCCATTGTTTTTTTCTCTAGAGTCTCCTCGTTAGTTCCTGGACTAATGACAATATTTCTTATATTACTAATTTCTCTTTCAAACACCATCACTTTAACCCGTGTAAGAAACTTAGTTTTTGTCCTGATTAAGTGTACTTTGCTACAGTTTGAAACTGAATGTGCGGCTTTTTATATCATAAATAAAGCGGATGAGCCATCAAGAAATACTATACAATTGTAGGGAGTGAATAATGAGTTGTGCATCCAGATGATTTACCATCATGACAATATGATTGAAGAGTGATCTGCACCTGGAACTGGTACTCTTTATTTTGAAATTAATAATGCTTTTTAGGTTGGCTCAAAATTCTGAAAGACTGGTGTGTCTTTTAAGCTTAAAATTTTGCAATCACAGACTATCGCTTCACGCAAGGCCGAAGAAATATCTCCACTTTGCTGACTCTTGTAACTCACAGATCATGTTCGGAGTTGTCCGGACCGTGAAAAATGCAATACAACAGGATCCGATTTTATAGATATGTACATTACCTAATGTTTATGAAACTAACTTCCTTCATAATCACAGAAAAAAAATTAAGTTTGAAGAAAACGTTTTGATATAATTTGGCATTCATGTTTTAGATTCTCAGGATGTCACGATTCTTCAACAGCTCTATCATTAACATTCTTCGGAAAGATTACTGAACTGAAAGCACGTTATTTCCCTTCCTTTTTACACAAAGAAATCAAAAACCAAAAGCTTGTCTTTACATTTTTCAATTACTTGCTTTCACAATCCTGACCTAAACCGAACATGAATCCTCAAGTTCTCTCCAAAACGGAAACCGACGCTGAAGACTTTAATTGGCCATCAGAAGATGCTGATTGGGGTAAGACATGCCCCCTACATTAAAGTTATCAATACCACTGCCATAATTCTTGTTTCCACTATCTGTAGAGGAATTCTTGAAATTCACTCCTCCGCCTGATACACCATTAACTGATGTTGCAGCTCCGTTGAAAGGGCCTTTGTCAAGGAAAAGTGACAAAGCGTTTGTGTTTGTCACAGCTTGGCCGATACGTGTACTGGCATTGGCCTTTACCGGCGTTGCATTACTGGTCGGGGTCAAGATACCACCAGTAGTGTGCTGTTGAGCCAAGACGTTCGTAGCGGACGCACTAGAGAATATCTCGTTGAGATAGCCACCTTCGTAGAGACTTGGTCTCTGATTAGGTGAGAAATGTGACTGCGGTGTTGGTGCATACGGAGCTGCGTGAGCTGGGTGATGAAGGTTGGCTGCAGAAGCAAGTAATAAGAAACTGTTGGCGTCTATTTGTTGCTGCTGCGGTTGCTGTGTCCCACTAGCTGGCGGGGAAGGAGACAAGGACCTGGGCCTTTGCTGCTGAGTGATTGAAGCAAACATCTGAGGGATCTGCGTTTGCTGCTGCTGTTGGATGATAGCACGTTGTTTAATGTAACTGCTGAATTCTGTAGGTGACATCCTGTGTGACCGCTTCCCGTTGCTCTTTAGCTTTGTAGACCCAAATTTTGTCTGAGCGAAAGTCGCTGTGGTGAAAGTGAGCGGAGTGGTGACCTAAATAAATAAAAATATATATAACTTTTTCATGAATGATTAAAACTCATTTATTTTACAAATTTTTATATGAAAACAACATAAGTTATATTTTAAATATTTATTTTCGATACAAATAAATGGTATCCGCATTCGGGTTGGCATGTTATAATGCATAAGATATTAATAGCAGGAAGCTTTTATTACAAGAAAACGAAATTTAATGTAAAACAAAATTTGGTACTATTCGGTTTCGAGGGCCGTAAAAAATCGCCAAACTATTGTTGATGCCAATGCTGCCAAAAATAAGTGCGGCAACCCTAATACTTGCGGCAAGAAAGGAGGTATAATAGTAAATAATTATCTAAGATTGATGTTTTTAATTCAGATGAAAGTTAATTTGTATAATACATTTTTATTATTATAATTTATATGAAAATGCTAAACATGACTGAATGGAAGCAAAAGAGTAATAACTATTCAGATCATTATTATAATTTATATAAAATTGCTAAACATAACTGAATGGATTGCCTGCATCGTATTTCGCTACCTACCGACTTATCGCTAAGCATAATTTCATCTCGTTGGTTGTTCAAACGTAATTTTCTATAATGAACGATGCCTTTTCTTTGAAATATATTCATAGTAAGTGAGAATCGCTCACTTATTTGTTTGCCGCCTTTTACAAGGGTAAAAACAATTGAATTTTTTGCCAATTTCTTTACTTTTTAAGTGAAAATAGCTAGATGTGCACATGGATACAGAGTATGTGCAATTCTTAAAAACGCGTAAAGCAGTGGGTGATTCTGCACTTTACCCAAAATTCTATTGCCGACTTTTTGTCATGGGCAATTCCCATATTGTTAAATCCATAGGATATCAAAAAAAGATTTAAAAATTAAACTAGTATTTCAATCGCGTCTTAAGAAATATGGAACTACATAAACTTACGCAATCTTAAATCAGCGCGTACGTGAGATTTGGCGCGCTGTTAAATGGGCACGTTTGCTAGATTTGGCGCTTTTGCGCGTACATTTTCGCTGCAATTTTTTACGGTCCTCGAAACCGAATAGTACCCAAAATTTTAACATTTTCTAAAGAATTAAACAATTGGAGTAAAGCCTGTAAAAGGTTACTGACATGAAACGTTTCGTTCAGATTTGCTCCCAAGTAAATTCAAGATAATGTAACAAATACCAGAAATAATGTCTGGATGGAAAATGTGTCAAAAGCGTTAAAATGAATTTACATTTTTCTAGAATACTTGAAAGTCATTTAAGGTAATGACATGTTATCTCGTCAAAATGGACTTCATTTCGTAAAACAATTAAAATAACACACGTGCTGTACCTCTCACATTCAATCAAAAGATTGTCTTGTATATGAGGCAATATCAATTAAGCACATGCTTGTAAAGCAGCATAAAACATAAAAATTAAATTTGTTATGTACAAACAAACTCAACTAAAACAGTATTATAGCCAACTTAATCAACAATAAAATAAAACATCCTGTATGCAAATATCAGAATGATAAATTACCAAGAACCAAGTCCAGTTTCTTGAAATAGCCTAAGATACATTATTATACATTTGCAACAATCCAACTAGTTCAACAATGTGAAAAATGACAAAGAAGATTTAGCGAATCAGGCATTTGATTAAATTTACACTTATTGCATAAACTATTTCTCTTTGCTATCAGAAGACAAGTTTGGCGATCCCCCTCAACTGAAGAACTTAATGGCAATATTGGATCAGTCGTCAACTATTTCCTGGAATGCTATCATCCAATAAGTTCACCTCAAAATTCTTTCCTTTCATTAAAATAATAAAAGTATAAATGGGCTAGATTGCGACACTGGGAAGAATGGTTCCAAAATTTCTCATTTAAGCTTCTGTAACCACCTTTGATTATTCCTAATAACGTTTTCTTGAGAAGACATTTGAAATAACCATACTAATTCTTTTTGAGAAGGTACCAACGACGATTGCAAACAATATGTCATAGGCAGGTCGGTTAATACCGACCTGCTCTCATATGATATTATTGATATTTTTCATACCGACCTCAATGAAAAATATCAATGATTGTCTTTAGTGCCTCTTTCGCAGCCTGGCAGGGAAAATTTGTCACAGGTTTCAAAGCTGAAAGTGTATATTTAAACTTTCCTGGTTCATATGGATAACGTCATTGCAACCATTAAAACTTCTGCTTACTCTCAAGCGTAAATTGTGAAATTAAGGCATTTGTCTCTTTTCATGTAATTGCACTCAATAAACGGAAAAAAGAGCCACTTCTCATTGTTCTGCGTGTGAGTTTAACGAATGCCAATAGGAAGCAAAGAACACGTGGCAAGTCACCATAAAATTCATGTAACGAACGTCTGTTTTCCCGAACATGTTAACATGTGCATTTTCAAGTTATGAAAAATGGGCACAGTCGAGGGAAGTCTGTAGTAGGTAATGTCTATACTGAATTCAGCCCCGGCATTACGTAACTGCCGACATTAGTTCTTATTTTGAGCTCATTGATGATGATGATGATGATGTCATGTCTATAACAAAGTGCAATTATGTATAGCTCCGAAGCTGTCGAAGACAGCTTTTGCAACCTCGGCAGCTCTATCAGTATAAAGTAGGTCCACTGGGTCTTCAATGCCGATGTCAAACAGTCTGGCCTGGATTGCTGGGCAGCTGAAGATGTGATGGCGAGACAGTGGGATGTCATCTGCGCAATGAGGACAAATGTTGCTGTAACTACGCTGTCTGTCTGCAGAAATCCTCATCCTTTTTAAGTCATTTGTTCTAAGTCTGGTTATGATAGTCGATATGGCTCTGTCACAGTTCAATTCCAGGATGCAGTTTCATATATATTCACATAATTCGCTTCACATTCGCCCACTCAGAAATCCAGAGTAAACTAGAAACATTCTCGGGAGACTACGAAAGATATGAATATTGGCAGAAGTCGAAGTGACATTTTACATAACTAAGATATATAAATTATTACAAAAAAGTGCTTTAGTAACTTGACAAGTAAATTAGTACAGGAATTATTATTGTTGATTATAGATTCTAATTCTTAAAGACACTGTAATGAAAATAAAATTTAAATGATAACATATTGTACTTACATTGACCAAGAACGTACCACATTAAGTTACCTTAATGAATTTAAAACAAAACAATCAGCGTAAAAAATTTTGAAACGTAGTTAAGGTTTTTCTTCTGATTACATTCAAAGTAATATTTATCGATAAAACTTCTTACCTTTGGCAGGAAGCCATTGATAGGGCTAGATGATGACTTGTATGTCGGTGAGGGTGAGTTGCCATAAGGACTGCTGGAAGAGGAAGATCCGGATGAGAGTGACATCGATCCTAACTGTGAAGCAACAGAATCGATGGGTTTAAAGCACTGAGCTTCTGGATTGAAAGTTCTGTATATTTCACGATCTGCACGATCTTCGGAGCTCTCAGATTCGGAATACAAGATTTTTACGCATCCCTTTTCCCCTAGCCTAAACGTCCATGAAAAGAAAAATAATACGGCATTTAATACAAAACACACAAAATATTTGTAATTAAAGACAATTTAAAATTTTAAAAAAAAACCTTAGGAAAACGATCAAAGTAATCAGTTTCTGTATCAATCTAATTCCAGCATTTCGAACGTAAGAAAGAGAAACTGGTAGCACAAAGAACATAGACAAATCCAAAAAGATCTCGAAATAATAAAAAAAATTAAAAGCAATCTGGAGTAGATCGCATGCAAAAATAATAACCCTACACTTGGAAAAACTAAAACCATATGCAAAATTTACAACTCAAAATTGGAAAAAAACGAAACTAAATGCAAATTTTGAAAACAGCCTGGTTATGAAATAAGTAAAAAAGCTTGAAAAATCTAACAAAAATTATGAGTTTGAGTGGACAGAGTACAGAAACATGTAAAACTGATGTAATTTAACATATGCAAGAATAAAAATAAAAGAAAATTAAAGAAATTCAATATATGAAAAAATAAATAAAAAGGAAAATAAATTAATTTACTTATTTTCATTCTTTATTTCTTTGCAGTATACACTTATATATATATATATATATATATCATTCAGAGACATTTAAAACTATCTGGCAAAAACGTAAAGGTGTGTGTAAAGGGTTTCTGATATCCCTTCTATGAAGGGATATCAGAAACCCCTATACCGACAATGTTAAATTGGCCATTTTCGATGTGCCTTTCCTCAAAATCTGCTGTAGATACACGCTTGAAATTTTTTGTGTAATTAAAGTACACCTATCTGATTATACTGAAATGAGATTTTGAAACATTTTAAATTTTAGAGTAATTTACAGAATATTTTGTCAGGCATAGTAAAATTTAGCACTTTTCTCACACAAAAAACTTTTTAAAATTTTTTATTCTAAGTTTATCACAAAAAGCTCATTTCGGTAAATATTAGGAAACCTAATAAATAAGCCATAAAAGTTTTAGATACCTGTACGCAGTAGTTCCTGAGAAAAGGTACATCGAGTATAAAAAAATCACGTTTGGAGAAAAACGCGTTTTTATGTAAAAATCCTCATTGATCAAAGCAGTCGATGACATATCAAAACTAGATTTTTTACAGTTCTAATTTTCATAGAGATTAAAAAATGGTATTTTTAGAAAGATAAAAGAGTAAAGAATTTGAAAATGCAAAAATCCGAATTCACAATTTTTTGAAGATTTTGGGGTTCCAACACCCCTAAATAAGCAGATTTTGTTGAGAAATGTGTATGCGGCAGTGGCGCACTTATGTGTGTGGTGTGATGTACAGGGTACCGTCGAACGGCAGGTAAAACCATTCCGCTTTCGTAAATCGCCAGAAAGATTTCGAGCGACATGCACATCGTTACGCAAACGTGAAGCTCGCGATATGCATCTCATCGATAATGAACTTGCGAAAGGTAACAAAGTACCTGTTTGAAGGCGATATTCAGGAATCATACTCCTTGGACTAGTTTTGCTTTAGTCACAACTCTATAGATAAAATTTTTGTCAGTGATCTTTGCTTTCGTTTAATAATGCGTGAACATTTCAAGGGGAATGGTGACTTTCTCCAGCAAAACGATTTTGCCTACATCTCAGCAACACCTGAGCGTGCTATTTCCGACCACACATTAGAAAATTTGCTTTTTCTGCTCAACAATTTTGTCAGATATTTTGTATCATTTGGTATACATATGTAAAAAATTAAAACGTAATCACGATAAGAATGCTTGCCAAGTCTTGTTTTGTCACGCATCCAAGGTCATACGCTTAACGCAGTCCCTTAACACACAGCCCTGTAAACGTAGCATAGCAGCCACTGCTAGCTAAATTATGACGTTCATACCATAACGAAAGATGTAGCACGTGCTTTGACTACATGATTCGTTTTGCTTTGACCACCTGAATTCAAATAAGTTACAAGTTTTCAGTGGCATACAGAACAGGCATGGAGTGTGGATCCTCCGGAACCCAATTCTGCAGGCGGATAAGAACAGGGCGGATAAACAGTGAAACACACAAAAAGGCATGTGACAGCTGGAACTAAGGATAACATCCGCGAAATATATGCCATGAGCCCACGTAAATCAGTTAGACAGGGTTTTAATTAATCAGAGAAGTTTTTATCAACAGGCCATGGCATTCTCGACAAACATCTCCACCTGACTACGTGCAGTCTTAAATAAGATTTGGGATCATGCTATAAAAGTTGATTTTGGCGATAATGTCGAATTAGGGGTTCATAGATATTAGTGTGTTCATAGTAACATTTTTAAAAGAAAATTAATCAACTTGAAAAGGAAACTAATATACTGAAAAAAACCTATAAAATTACAAAATGATATAATTTAATATAGGCTCTTTACAATTTTTGCATTGATAAGCTCCCTACTAGTTAAAATTACCAAATATCTCAAAACGACTTGTCAACTCTTGTTCACGATCAAGCTTATACATTTATAGAGAAATTTTGTCACCATTTATTTATAATGTATTCTTAAGAATTTCACGAGATTTATGACAAATAGGTTATGCTAAATATTTAATTATAGAACAGTAATCAAGCTGTTTCAAAGTAAAAATATGCATTTCAAAATATATTTTTATGAGATTTGCATTACAAAAATCTGCTAACCTCATGCCGCAATCAGAAAAGAATCTCCATCATTAAATATCATGTTTCTGATCTCAAATCACCAAAAGAGACGGAATGCTACCGACGATAACAAAAAATGTTTCAGTGTCAATTTAATCATATTTGTATTACATTCTAACACTCTTCAAAATGTGTCGAAAATCCTGAATCATTCGATTGCGTTAACCATAGAAAGGAAACGTCGATTTGCATAAATTACCAACGCTTGGTCAATAAAAGGCAGAGCATGCTTCTCCAAACTCGGTAGACCGAATTAAAAATATGGGTCAAAGGTTTAGCGACAACACGGTAAGAATTAAATACTTTGCTATTGTGGGCAAAGTGAAAGATAAGCTGGAAGATCCATTCACAACTCTTACTGAGACTAAATGGATTTTTCAAAACCTGAAAGAACTTCCAGCTTTGACAATGAAAATTCATAAACCTAAGTCTAAAATGCAAATTTTAAATTAATAAAATCAAGAACTATATAAAATCTCGCAATGTTGGAAAGAGTTTTAAAGATTTTAAGCATACTGAAAGTATCAGAGATCAGTTGAAGCAAAGCTTATCATTTTACGTAATTATACACCTGTATACAGAACAATAAATGTTGTTAGCAAATCTTACTCAATTTATTTAAATTTAAACTTACCTATAGGACACCTCGCCAGGATCTATCCAAATGCTTAATTCTTCGGGTAAGTTTTCTTGAATGTCAGCCAAGGCCATTCCGCTTTCCTGGGCTGCGATCTCAAAGACTGGGTCCAGTGGCAATGCCGTTTTTAAGCAGCGGAAAGCTGATCCTTTGAAAGGCTTTTCGGGATACCAATGGCCTTCAAACTTCTGTTTCAGAGCTTTCTCTAATTCTTCACCGAACTGATTAACTCGGCGTCGTGGTAATTTATTATAAAGAAAGGAGATAAAAAAATTTAGAGCTACCTGAATTTCAACGTGCATGATTTGCCAGGAAAGAAATAGATCTATTTCCAAAGCAATTAGTTTGAATCTTTACGTGATTAAACAATGCACAGACACTATGGAATATATGACCATGTAAATGTTCACAAATAAAGTTGAAGAGGATTAAGTCAAAGTAAAACCAAAAAACGAGACAGTCTAATAATAAAATACTTTTACAAAAGCAGCTACTAAATGGAATTTAGTAAATGTAATAAAAATTTCATCGCATGTAAAATATAGCCTTAGATGAAAGCTCAAAACAGATTCTGTTGAATGTAATCTGAAAAGAGAAAAGAGCATGTTAGCATGTTTCCCTAAATACAATAAAGTTTGCAAATGTAAATTAATTACAAATAATAGTTACTTTAATTACAAATAATAGGTCTTAAATCTGATTCGTGATGTATAAAGCAGCTTAATTTACAGACATACTTTTAGCAAACAGAAATCCTGTTAAAGGTTTTGATAAAAAAAGAAGCGGTTCGATAAGCATTAATCAGAAATGGAAAAATATGCGAGAATTTTCTTGCACTTTATACATTCTAAAAGTTCCTACAATTTAATTGTTTATATATTTATATTATTACGCAGTTAATCCGTTTTTAACTACATACTCTTTTACCTTTGAGATAACCCTCTCCTGTGCCAAACCCTTTGTTTTATTTTATTAAAATATCCATCAAAACGTTACCAAAAGGATACGACTAGATTCAAATTCCTCTTTTTTTACATTAAATTTCTTTAAATGATAAAAGCACGCAAATTACAAATTAAGAATTGTCCATCTCAAATTAATGGACTGAAGCATCATACTATATGGGATCTACACTGTATGATAGCCAAACGCGTTACAGTTAATTTTAGTTGCATTAAATATGTTAAAATATACACAAAAAGTATGTATTTAGAGAAGGAAAGCAATTGGTGTATCCAAGGCAGGGTAAATCATGTTGGAAGCCATAATTATTGATCTTAAATTACTAAGTTACATTTAAAGGAAAACACTGTAGAACGATTTGTATTATACGTAGTAACTAACATCTACTGGAGTATTAAAAGACAAAATATTTATTATTCGCATTTATATTGGGCATACATCTCATTTCGGGGCTTCCAAGAGATCCGAATTATAAGCTTAAAAGATTTTTATTACAAACGTTTATGTAGAAGATTATAAAATCTTTATTGGTTTTACAAAAGAAATCTCTTTTATAAAACTATCTGATATCGGATTCAAAAATTCTAAGCCATTCACAAATTACTATACAGTATATACATGCTCTCAGAGAATTTATCAGACGCAAAAGGCATACTGATTTATTTACATTTTCAAGTCTTATATCAAATGTACGTAGTCTTATATCAAACGTAGTCTTATATCAAATGTATTCGGAAACTAAGTACTGTTTCATTCTAGCGCCGTCGCAGCGCTGTGGTAGGCGTCCTGCGCATGCGCACTAGTCTTTCTTGTTCACCGACTTTCAATTGTCGCCATTTTGGTTGCTCTATGTTGTGTTTTCAGTTTGCTGTGCACATTCAAAATGTTTAAGACAATTAGTTCTCCCGCTGACTGTGAGATTCGTGCCGCGATTAAATTTTTGAACACGAGGAATGTTAAACCGGCCGAAATTTATCGTCAAGTGACAGAAGTTTACGGTGAATACGCGATAAGTGATGGAATGGTGAGAACGTGGGTAAGAATGTTTAATGCAGGTCGAACAAATGTCCACTCCGAGGGAGTGGTCGGCCTTCTGTTGTCACCGATGATTTGGTAAGGAAAGTTGATGAAGCAATTCATGAGAACAGACGCTTCACAATGACAACTCTTTCAGAGGCATTTCACAAATTTTCACGTACTGTTTTTGTTCGAATTGTGTCTGACCGCTTGAATTATCGCAAACTGTGTTCCGATGGGTTCCCAAAAATCTCCCTGATGTTCACAAACAAAGCGACTTGATAGTGCCCTGACATTATCGAAACTGGCGGGAAGTTTCTTTGACGATGGTATACAAAAACTGGTCACCCGCTATGAGAAGTGTTTGATCATTGGCGGAAACTATGTTGAAAAATAGTTTAAGACATGTATTTTCATAAAAAAAAATAATAATAAAATTGGATTCGAAAAAATTGTTTTACTATTTTTTTTTTTTTTTTTTTTTTAAAACGGTACTTAGTTTCCGAATACGCCTCGTATTTATAATTTTAAAGCACTCACTGAAAACTCAAAATTTCGCTCCGATTTTGTAATTGGCCTGATCGTTGATGGAGTGAATTTGAGAGATAAAGCTAGAATGTATGCAAAACATATTCAACGAAGACATTCTATTGAAATTCTATCAAAAAATTATTCTATTGAATGATTCTCCTATCGAAAAGAATTTTATTGTAGAGGAACTGGTATATATTGTACGTAAAATGGCATATTAAAAATTAGTAGGACTTTAAAATTATTACTAAGAAGTTGGAATTCCATGTTAGGCTAATCTCATGAGCTGCATTTCGTTCCATTTTCTAAACTTAAGCAATCTTGTTCGCGCCAGTATAACAGTATAAATCGTCAATATAGCAGTTGCGGACACCTTCAGTCGCTACATAAATTCAATAGATTTGATTGGAAAATCTAACTTTAAAACAATGCTGCTGGTTAAATTTAATATGATTTACTTCCATGTCAACAATGCTGTTGGTTAAATTTAATATGATTTACTTCCATGTCAACAATGCTGCTGGTTGACTTTAATATGGTTTACTTCCATGTCATTCGGCATGCAATATTTAAAACACATTATTTAATGCAAATGAAATTTTTTATAAAAAACCCTTCTATTATTCTCACAAAGGCCTCAAAGTCTTATTTTCTAATGCTTGGCAGTTACCTGATTGAGAAACATGCAACTTATAGCATTTCTAGTATGAGGGACAAGTGACTCTACTTCTCGGAAATTTTGAGGGAAGTGATAACAAGGCCACATGAAAATTCTATTAGTTTTATAATCTTCCTCATGAAAGAACACTTAGAAAAGCAGGAAAAGTAATCACATCAAAAAATATCCTAAAAACCTATATGCATATGAAAGTATACTTTTAAGACAACAAAGTATTTTTTCGTAAATATGGAAAATCGGATGTTTACGAAGCATTTAATACTGAACGACAAGTAATGGATTCCATTATAAACATTTCATGAAAACTCGTTTGCCCAATTCTCTTCCACCGAATAATTTTAGTCCAAATAAAAAAATATTTGAAAAGGAATTTATTCAAATGTCCTTCCCACCATAGGTTTCATTCATAAACACCTGATAATCTTGGCATAACTATACACACAAATATACAAAATATATCACAATTTAATATAAAGAAGTTCAAATCAAAATATACAAGACGTAATTGTATTTTTTCCAAAATATTTTTAACTGAAATTAATTAGATAAAAAGCTATTGTCTAACAAAATATATAAGCTTAAAAACTAGAAAATCTCACAGGGAAAAAATCAGCTTCACCTAATAAAACGCATTCCTGATACAAAAGCGGCTGAAAAATATCTTCTTTGGAACACTGGGTTGCTAACTAAATGTATATCATCTATTATTATTTTCTACAAGATGGGGAAAATTTATAACAATATTTAAAGGACTACACAAAAGTACTAAAACTAAATACAAGCTTATAGGCTTATCATTTTTTTGCAAAGCCTTAACAAACCGTTCGAGTACATCGTACCGTAATATTGTGGACCTATGTTTGCAAATCTAACTGAGCTGTATCAGTTAACAATGAAAAAATTTTATCCAATATTTGCTATCTTCATTTGAGGCTGACTTACTCCTAAATATAAAAGTCATTTATATTTAAGTCAATCATCATAATATTACATCAGCCTAATTCTTGCACATTTTCAGCTGCACCTGTAAATATAATATTAGATCTTAGAAAACAGTAATAATTTCTCTTTCGTTAAGTTAACAATTAATTGTTTAATTTCTAAATTTAAAAAATGGTTAAATAAATTTTAGAATTAATTTAATTCCCGCAATCAAGTTAATTAAATTTTAATTAAGTTAGTTAATTAATTAAGTTCCGATACATAACTGCCTAAATCACCTGTCAGAAATTTTATAAATCTATGTTTTAAAGCAAATTCAAAGTACAAGTTCTTTTTAACATCTCGACTTATTTCGTTCATACAGTAAAACCTGTCTAAAGAACATGTGCGCAATTAGAAGAAAATAAAAAAAAAAAAAAAAAATCTGAAATTTTTCAGATTTTAAATTACCTCCAAAGGGGCGTTTTTTTAACGTTTTGAGTGTTACCTTTATTTATTAAATATCATGTTCTTTGCACTTAAACCATAAAATTCAGTTCAAGAGCAATATCGCAAAATAATGTTAAAATTAGAGCATATCTTTAGAATTTCCGATATACACAGTCTCGCGAGCTGGAGATCGCTAAAGTATTTTTTTTCCTATAGTAACGTTGCCATTTCTCGGCTTTTTAAATCCATTGAGTTTGTTAAATCAAAAATTCGTTAAAGTTTTATAAAATATGAAATCTATAATAAAACAAATTCCAAATTTGGGATTTCAGATGCCCATATTCACAGTAGGATTTCGTCATTCAAAATTCGATGGCTCTATGTACCATTGTTTTATCACAATGCGAGAAATAGACAATCATTTATGCAGATTTTTCATTATTTAATTTCTTCAAATATAATGCAGGACTCTAACATTTTGTGGCAACAGTTTGAAAAGTGAACCGACGTTTATGAGTCCGACGCAAAATGCCAAAACGAAAGCAATAGTCCTTCGGGACTGAAATCCCTTTGGACTAATAACAATTTATTGATATATAATCAAAACAATATACGTCTAGAAGCTAGTATTTCTTATAAACTATTACGATCGCGAAGATTTCTTACAAGCACACAAGAGTTTTAACAATAAAGCATTAGCAGTATTTTGCTATTCATATATTTTAGTACATAAATAGTCAAATAGTAAAATACTATTTGAAAAAAGTTCATAGAAAGGTCGGTTCTCATCTCTGAAAAGAGCTGTCACACTTGCCAGAAATTACCGAATTCTAACTAAAAATTTATTTTTTTCGCATGATATAAATCGCCTTTTAGATTTTTTTACAATTACTTTAATTTTCAGAACGCTTAATATTTTTTAAAAAACTTTCAATGTCCTTTAGTTAAACAAGAACACTATCGTTTATTCTTATGATGTGTCACTGACTACCTACCACATCAGAGAAAAATTGAAGTATTTTCCAAAGCAAAGTCAATAAAATTT